AACTCACACTGTACGAGGAAACCCTGCGGTTTCCTCGTACAGTGTGAGCAGTAGCTGCGTGCAATGATTGAAAAAAATTGCACAGTGTATGCCCGGTTTTGGGGAGCCATTGTGCAAGTATAATTGCCTTCCTATTCACACTGACATGGGTTTTGAATGTTTTACTGTAATGTTCTGAGGAGCCTCGTCTGCATGATCATAAGGATGAGAAATGCTTACTTGTTCAAATGAGAATAAAACTTTAGGGGAGGTGAGAAACAAACAGTTGCTGAGTTCAAATTCAGTGGCTGCATCCTCCAAAGGCCAGATTCATGGGCCGATTACGTCATAGCACGGCGCTGAGGGCTGTTCAGATTGGAAGGCTCCTCTTTGTGCGGCAGACAAATGTAGCCTTCTTTTTGCCCATTTTAAAGGACGGGTCTGATGTATCCTACGTAGCCTTGGGTATCCCGTGATTCATTGCGAGTCCAAGCAAGCTGGCTGCTCGGTGCTCAGAGGGAGTCTAATATAATACAAGTATGTGAATAGTTCCATCTGAAACCAATGAAGATAGTTTAAATGGTTATTGAATCAGATATGTGGCGGGTAACGTTTGGTTTATTGAAATGTTTTATCTGTCCCTGCGCAAATGGGTTTGGATGACATTAAAGCACAGATTGTAATGTCTGTGCAGTGTTGGGACTAAAAATATGATATTCATGATGACTGTACTACTACTGAAGCTCCTCGAAAATGTTATTAGCACCCAGAACAGTAGTGAGAACTTCAGCATCCATTCTTTGCCTACTTTGTGTGTCAACTGTTACAGTTGCTAGGCGACAGAACATAGGGCTGATGAAAGCCAGAGAAGGCTGGACCTATTTGAATCCATAGCCAAAACTCTTCTGGTCTCCTTTTTTTCATGGACCTTGAAGGACCCAGTCCAGATAGACCAGGTCGTTAGAGGATGCAGCCTCTGATATCGAACATATCCAGGGTGTGTTCCAATGCTACGTTTCTAAAAGAACACAGGGAGATGCAATATGGTTGCAGTATGGTTCAACAAATGTAAACAGGTTTGACAAAGGCAGGTTCAAAATACAGGGGTGGAGAATCTGAAAAGTGCAATTACTCAGATATACATCATTGCATGCCTAAGGTTAGACTCAGATCAGCTGAGACAATCCTGCAGGTAATATCAACCTTTTCTCATTTGTTTAGATCAGATTTAAAGAGAAAGCTTTTTATTGCTGCTTATAATTTGCTGCTTAGAGATCAGACTTGATT